TTAGAGAAGGAGAACTTTGGCAAACGAGTGTATGCTCAGGTGCTCTGAGGCACCTTTCGATTTGGGAGTTCCCCTCTGAATTTCCACAGCACTTTGTTTATGGTACTTATTCTAATCTGCTCTGTTGTATCAAAATTATTCCCATCCTTCTCCTTCTGAGAAGGTAGGCTCCTTGGGATAAATGTTTGCTAGATAAACTAAAATGCATTTCAAGTAACTAAAATTAAAACCCTTTTCTTCCTTCCCACCCCTACTCCTTGCCTTGAAAAATTCTAAGCTTGAATAGAGATGATTATGTATTAAAACAAAATGAGAAACTAATTCAAAGTTTTATCTTTAAAAGTTTCTGGTAACAGAAGATGATAAATTTCTGAAGATTCATAATTATTTTCCTTCTTTTCTGTTGGTTCCCTTCAAAAACTCATCATATTTTTCTCTCCAACTGCAAAGTGATTAGCTTTATGAATTTAATCTTCAAATTCTTGTTCAAGTCCCAAAAGTCACTCCTGCCCTTTACCAAAGTGGGTTTCTAAAGGACCATAAGCAATGAGTGTATTTCAGGTTCTTCAGAATGTTTTTCAACCCAATGCCTTTATTCTTTGTTCTAACATTCTGTGAGCAATAGTCTCATTTATTGCTTCCCTCCCCAAATAATGTAGAGCATGTTTTTCATTTGGCAATCATAACTATTTATCCACTTGGACAGGGATGGGGAAATTCAAATCAGTTCTCCATTATTTAATTATATATAGAATTCATGTTATTATGCATGTGTATTCTTTACAAATCTAGACTATGTGTCTGCACAAGTATCACAGATTTTAAAATACATTTCCAGGAAGATGAAATCACTATCTTATTCTTCTTTTTAAATACGTCCTTGTTTCAGTGCTTCTAGTATCTTAAATGTATGTTTTTCTACCTAATAATCAACCCCATTCATTCATCTGCATCAAAATTGGATGAGCATAAATTTCTATCCATTTCTTACCCTGATATGTAAATAAGTACCATTCATCATAATCTATTTCTAACAGTTATAAATATACAAATTTTTTAAATTAGCATATTCTTCTAAACTATTTTAGTGTTGGGTTTAGAGACAGCATACTGGAGATGTTTTATTTGTAAGTAATGCTTGCACTAATGGTTCAAAACACAGGACCCTGATTTAAAATCTTCTCTAAAAACCTCACTAAAAAGAAAATGCCCCATCAGCTCAATTTGTTTAGAAACTAACTTTTTAAGATGTGGTGACTTTATGTTACATTCTAAATATTTTAATCAGAAAAAGGAAGTGGCGAATTAAAAAATATGTATTAATGAATATTTCATCAAGTTGCAAACCAACTGTCACGAAAACCCTTATATATTATATACAATTTTATATAAATCATTTGATGGCCTCAGCAAGAGGAATATACCCTATTTAAACTGGCTCATGTGATGATCAGGAAGTTTTGCTGCGACGACGCTCTCCAAGCTGACTGAAGGCAGATGGTGCCGACATGTTCAGCTGAGGGAAGCGTTGATCACAGAGTATCTGCCAATCAAACACTTGGGAAAGAAATGAGCTCCATCTGTGTTTTAATTACTACAGCAAACCCATCCAGTGTAACTGCCAGAGCTGCACATTTAATGGAGTACAAGAGACATAACACATACTTTCTTTCAAAAACTAAAGTAGAAATTGCCATATACAATACTAAAAAAAAAAAAGAGAGAGCACTGTTAATTAAGAACAAAATCTAGTGACAGTATGAATATTTCTATTCACCTCAAAAATATTTCTCAAAAATATTTCTATTTCAGGGCAGCCTGGGTGGCTCAGTCGTTAAGCGTCTGCCTTCGGCTCAGGTCATGATCCCAGGGTCCTGGGATGGAGCCCCACATCGGGCTCCGTGCTCCTCGGAGGGGAAGCCTGCTTCTCCCTCTCCCACTCCCCGTGCTTGTGTTCTCTCGCTTGCTGTGTCTCCCTCTGTCAAATAAATAAATCTTTAAAAAAAAAATTTCTATTTCACTACAGCTCTATTTCACTCTTTCTCTAAGGCAATTCTAATGTGTATGAGAGAATTCTATACAGAAACATGAAGAGGTAATATTTGAAAAGTAAAATATTATCTAAATATTCTGGACACCAAAGAGTAATCCTACTAAAATTCAATAAAATGAGAAAATTTATAAATATTCAAATTTATATTATTGAATTTTTATAATTACAGATTATATATTTATTGTATTTGTTAATATATCCTTATTATAAAAACTCATTTCATTAAACGAAATAGCTGAACTTTCAAAACTTTTCTGTCAAGTGACACCCTGTTCATTTCCTCCCTAGTGATATTAGGTTGTTTGGTTATTGTTCTAGTATTCTCAAATGAATTTATCCTGGTACTCACCTTATTTCATCACTGTGTGAACAGGAAGCGTGGGAGTACAGATGTTACTTGGTTTACACTTCTACCCTGGAGGCATTCAGGGGCTCTCTCGGACTGGGATGTGCAAGCAAGCAGGAAGGATATAGGGAGGGATTAAAAGGAAAGAGTTCTCCTTTGTCTTTTCATTTTATATTCTGCCAGCTCAGTCTTCCCCACTACCCTTTCACTAGCACCACATATTTGGCATCAAGGAGGTTTTTAGAGATTCACAGTGATCTCAAAGTTTCAGTTACACTTTGAAATTTGAGAAGATATATTGAACATACACAAATACTGACAGTAAAAGGATTTCTAAACTCTAAATGCGCATAACAAAATAAATTCATTTATCGAATAAGCATTTATCAAGTGCCTATTATACATTGAGTTGAGGTAAAGATTAATAAAGATCGTCCCTGTCCTAAAGGATCTCAGAATCTAGCAAGGTGGCCAATCCCATAAGTAACTGAACGCAAAACAAGAAACACATGTACTAAGACATACGCATAAAGTGCATGCCAGGTGGCAGAGAGGAGGGAAGAATTAAGCTTGTTGGAGTTCAGGGAATCTTTCAGAGGGTAAGTGGGCTTTCACGGAGACAAGTAAGGCAGAGATGGGGGAAGAACATTCCAGATGGGGGCCAGCATGTAGAAAGGCAGGGACACTAGACAGTTCATACTGTCTCCTCATGCCTACTCTCTTGGGAATGGTGATCTACAGGGTCAGATGCTACCAAGAGGTTATTTGAAATAAGACCTAAAAGAGGCATATTTCATTTAGCCATTTGAAAGTTATTGGTGACTTTTTACAGAATAGTCTTAGGTTTGAAGCAGGTTTCAAAATAAATGGAAAGTGAAGAAGCGGGGAGCAGTTTAGCAGAGAGGAGAGAAGGGGGGTCAGAGAAGGGGAGGAGAGGAGAGACAGAGGGAGAGGGGTGAGTATTTTGAAAAGGAGACAGAGTGGAAAAAAGGTTTAAGATCTAAGCATGTTGAAACAGGACAAAAATGGCTGCTCTTAGTGGGACTGTGTAAAGTTTGGTTTATTTTTATAATTAATTGAAGAATTATGTTTCTTCAAAATTATTTATTGAATTATTCTTAAAGAACTATTTTTTACACTAAAAAATAAAAAAAACGTTTATACAATCAAATAGAAAATACATACCTTTTGCCAATCCAGTTTTTTTTATCCAAATTACCCACCACCCTTACGATACCTACCTTATCATAATTTTATTTATCAATTTTATCCCCAGAACAAGTAGTGAGTGACAAGATAGTTATTGTAAGCTACCTTTTCAGAGCACGGGGAAAAAAGCCCTGTCTTGAGTCAGTTTTCGTATCTGCTATGGAATTCAGATCATCAATTCATTATCAGAGTCCTGTAACATGTAGAGCTCGGAACTGAGTATATTAAGAGACACACTTTGAAAATGTTTTGAAAAACACAAAATTTTTAGAAATAGGTCACAGATTACCATTATAACCCTAAAATCACCATTTTGTAATTATCAGAACCTTGATCCTCAATTAAATGCTGCCTCACCCACCTATAAAAGATAACTAGGTTATCAATCTAATACTAAACGAGACCTTTTAATATAACTTGATGCTTTCCCCCCCTTTTTTTTTTAACTTTAAATTCTTACAAAACTAGAAGCCAGATCACCCAACTCCTTGTCCCTGCTCCAAAAAATCATGGTTATTTTTTAAAGAAAATGTGTTCTCCATATAACAAGTTATTTATTAGACCAAACTACTAAATTTGGAGTAGAACAAAATACATTATATTCTTTGCTATACTGCTACATTAAAGGTTTTTTCCCCCCACACAAGGAAATGTATATGACTTGATAGATTTATAATTGCAGCCAGTCATCCAAGTAAATAAAACAGTGAGGAGGCAGCAATAATCTATTAAAGCAATGGATCAAAGGTTCAGGAAAGAATACATTCTTTACATGCAGGAAAGGTGAAAATTTTAAATTAAGAATAAAAAAGAAGAATTTTAAGCAGTGACAGGTGAGTGAAAGGAAATTCTTTGATATTCATAACCATTGGAAACTAAAAAATGACTCCAGGTTACCAAAAACCAACCAAAGTAAACTATTTTATGTGTCATTGCAAACAATCAAGAAACATCACACATTGTTTTATGATCGGCTATATAGATATTCTCTATCTTGCCAGTTGTTCAGGCCAAAAAACTCTCTGGAGTCATCCCCAGTTCTCTCTTTCTTTCATACCCAATCCTTCCTCTCCACTCCACCTTCAACGTATATTCAGAATATCTCTCCACTGATCCTTGGTCCCTATCACCTTTCACCAAGGTTACCACAGTTTCTCCCAACTGATCACCCCCTTTTCATTGCTGGCCCCTTGGGCAGATGAGCTGTTCAGAAAGGCAAGTCGGACCAAGTCACTCCCATGCTCAACCCTCCCAGTGGTTTCTGCTCTTGTCAGGACAGAGAGGGCCCTGTATCATCTGGTCCCCAATACCTGTCTGATCTCATCTCCAGCTACTCACCCTCATTCACCCCCCTCCAGACACAGTAACTTCCTTGTTGTTACTCAAACACACCTGCACACATCTGTCCCAGGCCCTGGGCCCTTGTTCTTCTCTGTGGCTGAAACACTCTTTACGCAGCCCTCGCCGTGGCTTGCTTTTTCATCTGTCACCTCCAAAGGTCTTTGTTCAACTGTAACCCTTAGTGAGTCATTCTCTGACCAGCCAAACTAAAATTGCAAACCCAACCACAAACACTTCATCACTCCCTACCTCTACTTCCTGCTTTATTTTTCTACTTGGTGCTAACCATCCTCTAATAGTTAATATATTTTAATTATTTGTTTATTGTCCGTTTTATACAACTGGAATACAAACTCCAACAAGGAAGGAATTTTTGTTTGTAGATAAATAGTACTTGACCCATAGCTGATTCACAAAAAATATCTGTTGAATGAATGAATCCAATCAGACAGTTCCAGGAACAGATAGTTGCTAACGATACATAAACCTCCTCATTTCTTATACAGTGGTTAAAAGTTTAGCCTGGTGTAAGTTTTCTGAGCTTTCTTTATAACTTATGTTTTAGGTGAAAAATCACATAACAAGCCACCTCTGAGGTAGAGTAATAACTTTAAATAAAGACCTGGCACTGATAATCAAAAATAAGAGATAAAAAGTCAATGGTGAGTTCAAGATTTTGAATCTATCCTTAAATAACCAGAAAAAAATGATGAGATTACCTCTGATGCCCGTAAACACTGGCCAAGCATTTAAAACACCTTTATTTAAGGCTCCTTGATGTCATTACAGAAAGCTTTTGAATGAGCAAGGACATGCAAACTTCAGTTCTAAAGCACTATAGGAAGTCAGAAAATGTAATTTCACAACCAAAGTAATTTGTAATGCATTCTGTGACTTTCTTTTCAAACATGACTAAAATAATTCAGTTTCAGTCCTAATGACCACTCCAAACATGCCAATCCCAATATTACTAATTAGCAGCAAGCAAACCCTCTATACTAGACATTATCTCTTTCACCAATGCTCTGGGTTGTTGTTAGGCCCAGACTGATTTGAGAGTAATTAATGTTTCTGCAGTACGCAAATCTACAGTTGAGTTCACTAGATTTCCACTGGCAAATACTAGTAAAAGCAGGGTCCTCTTTGTATTATCTTTCCCAGAACACCTTCATAGCATGAATTTAAGAGACAGCAAGCTCCCAAGTTGGGTTAAATGTGCACTTATTATTGAAGAGACTTGAAATGCACATGAAAACATTGCATGAATTCATTTCTCTTCAAGCTAAAGACTTCCCAAGACTGGTATCATCAGTCTCCTTCAGTCTTCCCCATTTCTTCTATCTCCCCATCAATGCTGCCACTTGGGTTTAGAGAACAGTCATCTTTATTTAACCCTCCCTTCTCACATACAATTGGTTGTCAAAACCTGTAGGTTCCTGTAGTAAGAACTTCATTCGTTCTCCACTGTGCATGACTGCATTATTCATTCAACTGCTTTTCTTGCCTCTAGTCTTTCCATGATCTGATCAATTATTCTTTTATGCACTGTTATCAACTGTCTCTGTCCATCAATCTATTCTCTTAGCTACAAGATTAAAGTAAACCCCAATCTGTTGTGCTTCTGCTTAAAGAATTTCAATGGCTCCTTATTTTCCACTGAATTAAATGTAGATCCCTCAGCCTAGGATTTAAGGTCCTCTCTAATAATGCACCAACCCTGACCACCCAGGCTTACCTCCTTCTAGTTCATTTCAGTATAGAAAGCAGCAGCTGTCGTGTCTCACTAAACACCGGGAATCTTTCTCTTCAAGTCCCTAGAGCACCTGTGGTACTAATAAAATCATTTACTCATCCATCCACAAATAGTTATTTATCTCCTAATATGTGCTAAACATTGCTTTCAGAGCTGGAGATACAGCAGTGAATAAAACAAAGGTTCCTGCCCTCATGGAACTTACGTTCTGGTGGGGAAAGACAGAAAATAAATTCAATCAAAAAGAAAAATGTCAGCTATAGATAAGCACTTAAGAAAAAAAGCGAGAAAAGGAATTAGGGGTTGTTGGGGTACAGTTGGGCAGGGTAAGCTTATAACTTTAAATAGGGTGTTCAGGAAAGGTTTCACAAAGAAGCAAATACCCAAAGGAGGTGAAGGAATGGGCCCTACAGATAACTGGACGAAGAGCACTTCAGGTAGGGGGAAGAGCAAATGTCAAGACTTCAAGTGGGAAACGTGTTTGGCTTACCATAGGGAGAGTGTAGAAATACAGTCCAAGCGGTAGAAGGAGACCAGTTTTTTTAGGACTTAACTTTCACTCTGAATATGAGAAGACATTGGAGGGTTTGCAAAGAAGAGGCAAGATCTGACATGTTTTAAAACAATCACCTTGATCAATATATTGAAAGTCTGGAGACAAGTTAAAGGGCTGTTACAAGAATTTAAGCAATAGCTAATAATGATGCCTCGGACCTGAGTGGGTCCAAGTGGGGTAGCGCAGGTGGGGAAAGTAGTCAGCTTCTGGGTAGCACTAACAGGATATGGAGCATAAGAGGGAAAGAGGAGGAAAGGGTGACTGAAAGGTTTTTGATGTGAGCAACTGAAACGCCACTGTCTAATAGAAGAAATACAGTGTGAGCCACACACGTAACTTTTAATTTTCTTACAGTCACATTTACAAGCGTAAAAGGACAAAGATGAAACCAACTTTTAAAATATATCTTATTTAGCCCAATAAAACAAAATATTATTTCAACAACAAGTAATCAACATAACAATTATTAACAAGATATTTCACATTTTTTTTCAAACTCTTTGAAATCTGGTGTGTATTTTATGTTTACAGCACATTTAGTTTGGACTAGTCACATTTAAGTGCTCAACAACCACATATGGCTAGTGGCTACCATATTGGGATAGTGCAGAATTAGAATGATGAAATGTTTTTTTCTTTCTTTTTTGTAACAGGGATACTAAATGCAATGGGGATACTATAGTTTAAATTATAGTAGCAAGTCATGGGAGGCAATCCAATATTCACTCATAAGGGTAGTTAATAAATTATGTTACAACCAAGTAGCCACTAAAAGCTAGGATTTTTATAAATATTTAAAGTATGCAAAACATATTCATAGTAAATATGGGGCGGGGGTGGGTGGGAAGGGTCAGAGGAAGAAACAGTATACACAAAATGATCTCATGAGCAGGGATGAGAAACACACACACATGAGCTTGGAAACACATATGTCAAAGTATTAACATTGATCATTTCTGGGATAACTGATGGAGGAAAGACTGTAGGAAGAGTAGCATCCCCCACAGAGGAGGATGATTGGAAGGTCTGAACATACTACATTTAGGATGCCTATTAGATACCCCAAGTGGAATATGTTGTCTAGAGTTCAAGAGAGAGGTTCTGATCAGTAATAGGAATCTGGAAACTGTCAATGTACAAATGGAATTTAAAGGCAAGAGACTGTATGAGATCACTAAGGAAGTGGGTTTCAACAGAAAAGAAACTGGGACCAAGGACTGCATGCTAGGATATCCAACTTCTAATGTAAGGAAGATGATGAAGAACCAGCAAACAGGACGGGGAAGAACAGCAAGTTGGTAGAGAATGACCACCTTTTTCAAAGGATACTGCAAGTCATGTCCAAGGAGAACGGAGAACTGACCAAAGGTATTGACCTGAAAGCCAGTCATGGTCCTGGCATGAACAGTTTTGGTGGAGCAGTGGGTTCTGAAAGAAGTGGGTTCAAGACAGACCAAGAGGTTGGGCACCTGGGTGGCTCAGTTGGTTAAGCAACTGCCTTCGGCTCAGGTCATGAGCCTGGAGTCCCAGGATCGAGTCCCACATCGGGTCTGCTTCTCCCTCTGACCCTCTTCCCTCTCGTGCTCTCTGGCTCTCATTCTCTCTCTCTCAAAGAAATAAATAAAATCTTTAAAAAAAAAAGACCAAGAGGAGATGAACCGCAGAAAAATTCATGGACCACACTGAGCATGAAGCAGGGCAAAGAAATACAGTGTTTTTATCAGTGTAGAATCATATCCCTGTGTTCTTATCTTCTCTCTCTCTCACTCTAACGTAAGTTTCTTAAAACAGGGAATGCCTTAATTCTCTGAGCCCAGTATTACTTTTGAGGCAAAAAATTAAAAACATGTGCCTAGGAGTAATACAGTAATTTTACACAGGCTAGCATACTGAATGCTGAGGTAAACCAATGGATTAACATCAAAGTTAATTCATGATTCAGATCATCAATTGGCGAAAACCTCAACTCAGGGAAAACAGCTCTGAAAAGTAACTGCAATCTGATAATTACTGGCTGTCACAAAGCCTAACTATAAATTTCTCAGTGAAAGCTTTCATCAAGAATGCTCTTTTTCTTTTTGCCAAATGTCAAGTTTAAAACTAACCACTACATTTCTTTGACATTACTGCAAAGATGAAAAAATCCCAAATACCAAAACTTCAGGCAGATAACCAGTGAGTTATCAGCTATGACACAAAAAGACCATAAACTGTAACCTAATCAATACAGAAGACTGTTGCAATGAAAAATACAGTGACTAGAAAAACCAATTATTCTTCAAACTTCCAACATTTTACTAAGTCTGGGCAAATTTCAAGCTATTGTTTCTGCACAGTCTTTCAACAATGGTTCAATCTTACTGAAAATCCTCATAGAGCTAACATATTAGGAGGTAATTCTAGACAACTATTATCAAATCTAATATATGTTGCTTCTTGGCATAAAAATACCTGCCTCTTTAAGTTCCATTTAGAAAACACAGTAGGGAATTCATTTTACAAGTTTAGCATCTGAGATTGAGGAATGATGGCCAGGGAATGGGCAGGATAACAGAATAGTTGCAGTGATCTCGAAGAAATGTAAGGTTCGGATGTTTTTAACTTGGGTTTTAGCCATTTCAAAAGGATACACTGGTAATTTGGTGCAGAAATTTCAATGTGTAGATAAGGCGATCTATTTTGCTCACCACAAAATGTCTTATGAAACACTCAAAATAATTCTGTTGGTGTTGCTTCTTTACCTCATCCTATTTACTGACTTTAACAAGACTCCAATTTCTCAACACAATCTCAGTGCTCTATTTCAGTTCCCCTTTTCCTGGTTTACAAATTTTAACTTCAATTTCTTCTCTCCATAACCAACCATGTCCCTTCCTTCTGCCCACTCTCTCTCCTGTAATTTTACCTGCCTTCCAGCCACAGAAGGAGATACTGATAACTACACAATCAAGGCTCCGCAGTGGGAGAAAAGGAGAGGCACAGGCCTAGGTGTGCGGCACAATGCTTTTACACTCAAAGGGATTCGATAAACAGGAGTTGGGCTGCTTACATGAAGTATTATAGGGAAACTAAGAAGATGCAAACAGGAGTAAAGAGAAGGACTGAGGTAGGAAGTGTCCATTGTAAAGTAACTGTATGTCAGTGTGTGCGTGTTGTTACGTATGGCTGTATGGGAAAGACGTTGTACAGTCAAAAAACCATAAAATACGTGTTTTTAAAAGTCAGGCAAGTGTAACTAAGAGAGGTGGGGGATAAAAAGCTTAACAGCATAACAATAGGATTGCCACCAAGTAAATACATCAATTCATTTAGTATTTTAGGAAAAATTTACTTTTCAGTAGAATGTAAATGAAATGACTTTATCAAATTCCAACTAGAATTTGTCACTTGGCAAAAATTACCATGAAAATAAAACAGTGAGTTGTTAAGTGATAAGAAAGTTACTTGCCATAATAGTTCCTCTCTTAGCTGAAACTCCATGAAATTCAAGGGCGCATCGTCCTTCGATTAATTCTGCATTGTGTTTAGTGCACCTTCATGCACGTGAAGGCATTCAATAGTAATTACTGAGATTGCATTTTGATTGAAGAGGACAAGACTGACCTTCGCCAATAAAGGAAAACAATGCCGCCTGACTTCTGTCATACTCTAATATTCCAATTGGTAAGTCATATTCATCTGTCACTTTCCCTCCTAAAACTCTTGGAAAAACTTTGAGCTTAAATTGTGGTATGTATTTGTTATTAGAAGGTCTCAATTTAACAAAATCAATGGATTGGTGAGCTCATTCCCTGACTTACAGCTATTGAGACTGCATGATGGTCTGCAGCTGCCTCCCCTCTCCTGCACCTTTGGTGTTTGGGAAAGAAGCACCTGACAGCAGCTCTACTTCCCATCATTAATGGAGGATAGTTGGGAGGAAAGCAGGCAGGGGCAAGGGGGCCCCTTCTAAGAGGAAACTACCCTTAAAAGGAAAAAGGCTCCATCCTGTTATTCTAGGCTTTACTCAATGCCCCAGCTTTAACTCCTCCTCCTGGGAGGATTTACAACTTGTTTGTGATAGAAAGGAAGGGAATGGCCTTGGGCGTCCTAACCCAGGCCCAGGGGGAAGCTCAACAGCAACTCAACAGCCAGTGGGATATTTAAACAAAGAGCTTGATCTA